GAGAGAGAGAGAGAGAGAGAGAGAGAGTCGACTTAATGTACGCGAAAAACATAAATGACTTGAATATAACTTCGAAAAAAGGAGTGGGGGGATAGGGAAAGGCTGATAACAAATACAATACCAGTGCCGTGTATATTATATTGGGTTGACTATATTTTATGAATTCGTTGATCATTTTGTTCAGTCAACTGAAACATCGATATACTTTATATATAGTGTTGTATTATATGGTGTATAACTCTTTTTTGTGCCCCAATACCAATGGGAAATACACTACACTATTGTCACACCATTTAATAGTGTGTAATATTCTGTGCGATAGTGTGTTCAGCAAATTATTATACATCTAATCAATTCAGTCGTTGTATTATGTGTTAGACTTTGTTATGAACTCAAGTTTTTTGTTTAATAAAAAAATATATCCAGTTATCGGTGTATTCACACATAAATACATTTACGTATACTATACTGGTATGCATGTATGGATTGTATACTAAAATAAAATAAGTAATTCTTTCACACACTTTGCTATAATAGGTCTCATATCGAGAGTTCAATTCTAGTTGTGTTTTATTTATTTATTTTTCTGTATATAGTATATATACTATACCGGTATACTATTATATATACTGTATATGTTTGAACGAGTCGTATATGCAATATATTATGTACTCCTTTTTGTACCAATATATTAGACGTTTTGTGTCAATAAATTGTGCGCCGACTGTAAAAAAGTCTTATACAGTCTTATATGTGTTGTCGAAGTTAAATGTGTTTAATAGGGAAAAGGCTCGCGATATGTGTTGTTATATGAGGCGTCGACATCAATATTAGGACCCGATTTCTGCGCCCCTATTCTCTCTCCCATTGTATTCCTTATCTCTCTTTTTTCGTTGCCTTTTACTCTTCAACTCTCTTCTCCGAATCTCTCTCTCTCTCTCTCTCTCTCTCTCTCTCGCAATGCCTTTCAGTAGCGAAACAGCAAATGCGAGCAAAAACTGATCGACTCTGGGATAAGAGAAATAATCGAAAGTCTCTCTC